AGTTCTGGTCCTGGGAATTTCCCCGGGAGAAGACCCAGAAGGCGGAGCGATGCCAGTGCCAGGAGATGCAGGGAGTGGTGCCAGACCAGAGTGCTCAGAACCACCCCCTCCTCCCCAGGCGGGTCCTATTTTATTGGCATGCATTCACTGCCACATGTTTGTTGGGGGCTTGCTATCTACCGGGCCCTGTGCTGGGCACAGCAGGAGGAACAGACACCCGAGGAAAGAGTGAGGAGGGAAAGGGTGCTGAAGATGGAAGGGGAGTGATGGGAGGGTCCCGCCTTGGAGACCAGGAGAGGAGATGTGGCTCTCACTCCAGGCTGTCCCATGGGTGAAGATCCTGGAAAGAGACAGAGACGGGATGGGTGGTGTCCCTAGGGGCCTCTCCCTACTATGGCTCACCCCCCAAGGGCACTGAGTTGCCAGGAGACCACGTGTGTCCTTCCTGGTGGGGCCAGCATGAAAGAGGACGATCCTTCCCACGCTCCAGAGGGAGGATGGAGGCGGAGGGCAACGTCCACTCGTGTGCTCACAGATCAGAGGCTGGAGTCCTGGATTTTGATCTCAGATCACCCATGCATCCAAGTGACCCAGCACAAACGCAGCCTCATTTCTATCTTTACCTGTTAGTGGGGGGGCTTGGTTGGCCTTTCCTGTGGCACAGATGCCACCCCGTCCTCTCCCTTGGCTGTTGCTAGCGGCCCATCCCTTCCAGGTGACTGCCCCCACCCCCATCCACGGATATGCACAGTCTTGGCACCCCAGGGCAGGCTCATGTTGGGGCCATGGCCACTGTGGCTGTGGCTAGGCCGTGTCCCTCTCTCCTTCCTAGTCGCACAGAGGGCAGGCTCAGAGGCTAGCAAGGAAATGAGGCAAGAGGGGGGTCTCTGTCACCTCCACAAGGTACCCTAAGTCTAGTGTATGGACATTAGTGGCGGATGGGGGGCAGGGCTCTTGTGTATGTTTTGCATGGAGTTCAACTTTCCTGGCACACGATTTCTGGCACAGGGACGGGACAGGGACAGGTGGCTGGAGGCACCTTGACCTGGCTAACAGAGGAAAGGAGGGATGGGACTTTCTCTTTGTATGCGGGTGGCTCTGAGGCCTTGGGTGTGTCTCATGAGGGTCCTGGGGGGAGGGACACACGTTTGTGTGTGGATGGGGTGATCTAAGTGTGAATATCTCTGTCTCAGAATTTCTGTTTGTTTTGGGGGCTATTTCTGACCGAGTGAGGTCCCCGTCTCTGCGCTTGTGTCCTCAGTGGCTGTGCTTTGTTGTTCTGGGTGTGTCTGTGGAGATGTCCTTATCTAAGGATGTGTCTGCGTCTGTGCGTGGCTCTGTGGCTGAGTCTGTGGATTGTGGGGGCTGGGGGTGGCCGTGTGGATGTGCCCGTGCCTGGTGTCATGGCGGTGAGGACACAAGGTCTTCTCTGCAGAGCCTTCCATCACCGCCGGGTCTGCAGACATGACTCTCATCCTAAGCCTAGCTCTGCCCACCCTGCGTGTCCACTCCCTCTGCTACCCTCCCCTTCCCAATGCCACAAGCAGCTGTGGCTACAGTCTGTTCTTCTAGCCCTGGCGTCCCTCCACCCAGCAACTGTGGGTATCCCCCGGCTCCCATGAGGGTGGCCTGTGTCCATAGATGATTGAGTATTGGCTGGGTGTAGACTTTGCTGTTCCCTTCTTTTGCCTCACATGTGACTATTTTTCCATTTTCTGGAGCTAACCCTGGGGGGGGAGAGATGGGACTTGTGTCTGGAGGGCTGGTCCCAGCAAATGAACCTCTTCATCCCAGCCCTAGCCCGGTGTCACACCCACCCCAAAGGTCTGTCTTAAGTAAAGCCTCCATCCAGCAGGGCTCCTCAAACTCAGCCCCTGTCCAAGTCCTACCTGCATGAAGCATTCAGGTGGCCCAGGACACTCTGGCATGATGTCCCTCCATCGGGACCCTAGAGGTCCCTTTTCTCTGCCAGTGGCTCTGAGGCCAAGAGATTCTTGTCTGCTGGTGCCAGGCACCCCAGGGCCAGGCCATCTGCTGCCTCTGTCTTCCTGCTGAGGCTGGCACCGGTCAGCAGGGTGTCCTCAGCTCTGCCAAGCACTGGCCCGGCCTCAGGGCTGCTCCTCCCTTGACCTAAGCCATCTGGAAGGGCCTTCTTGTCTCTAGGGAAGGCAGGGCGGCCCTGGACTGCTGTGGTTGAGGAAGATCTCAGGCTCCCCCTTCTAGAGATGTTAGGAGGGATGAAGGGACCCCTCCTCTATCATCCAGGCTCCAGGTTCCCAACTCCCTGCCCCATCGGCCCTGCCAGGGTCTGGTTCTGATCCCACTCTGCTCCGTTCAGATGCAGTTAAGTCTAACCGTCTTCAGCGTTGAGGGCCTCTCATCATCTGGGCTCAGCCCCCGCCCCCTTTGCAGTCTTATCGACTCCCAGGCTGCACCCCAGCCAGAGTGGACCATCCTCCCTTCCCTCAGCCCTCTGTCCATCTGCCTGCCCCTGGACGTTTGCCCACTCTGTCCCCATGCTCAGCAAGCCTTCCTGCCCAGCTTCCAACTGCTCATTTTCCCAGCCCCAGCTCACATGCCCCCTCTTCCAGGAGACTGCCCCTGCCTACCACAACCGGACGCCGTCTCTCAGACCCCACAGCTCAGCCTTACCTCTGGCCCTCTTTGGACTGTGTGTCATGGGCTCCCTGTACCAAGCCCTCTGTGCCTTTTCCTACCTGTAACTCTGTGAGGGCAGTGAGTGTCGCTAGAAGGCATGACTCGGGAACATCTGGGGTGGTTCTCTCTGCCCCCACCAACCGGCCTGGAGCCTGCCAGAGCCATCCTGGTTGCACCAAGGTGTTCCAGGTCTTGGTAGTGAATGGGATATACCAGGCACGACTTCCCTCCTGCCCCTGGGAGGGTGGTGGGCCCGTGTCCCAGGGCTGAGTGCTGAGCTCCGAGGGTCTCTAACCCACCCCTGCCCTGCCCCTTCCCTCCCAGCCCCTCATAACCATCTCTTCTCTTATTTCCATCAGCAGCCAAACTACTGGAGTTTCAAGGTCAGTGTGTGATGCTTCTGCTTCCATGCCAACTGCATGTGCTGCCCCTCCACCCCCCACCCCTCCCACCCCCGCACACACTTTGCACCGGGGTGCGTGTCTGTACAGGCACCTTTGGGTACGGGCTGTGGGCCTGGGGTGCAGGCTGTGGCTGCTGCTTTGGGAGAGTCTGGGTTCGCCTGTCAGGGGCTTGTGTTTGGGCCACCTCTGCTGGGATCTGGGCTGGAGATGGTCAGTCGCCAGATCTCCCCAGCCCATGGGCAGCCTTGAGGGGGGCTGCCTGTCACTTCCTCCAGCCAGGAGAGACTGCTGGCTGTGAGTTAGAGGCCAGGACCCCATGAGTTTATTGAGGGCTCTGTTCTCTGAACTTGGGTTTCATCCCCCGGGGAGGCCCTGGGACTATGAGGTCCCACAACCTTTTCTTTCTCCCCACCATGAAAGAGCTGATCAGTGTCCCGCAAGGGACTCACAGCTCTGCGCCCCAAACCTGCTGTCTAAATGGAGGGCTAAGCTCAGGGATGACTGCCTTCCTCTGGAGGTTCTGGCCTCTCCAGAGCTGGAGAGCTGTCTGTCCCCTTCAAGGGGCTGGGAGGGAAGGGACAGAGCTGTCTGTCCCCTTGCTGACCCCTGGGGGAGCACCCCCAGATACCTCCTCTATCCTCCATGGTGCCCAGGCCCAGAGCTGAGTGAGCCAAGTTAGACTGCTGCCAACCGACTGGTGTCTCTGGCCCCTCAAGTCCCAGGCGCCATGACAGTCTCCCCAAGTGTCTTATTTGCATACGTTCTCCCCAGCACTGCAAGAAGTGCTTGAGTCTGAAAATCATGAAACCAGGGCATCATAGTGTCAAGCCCAGCCTCTTCAGAAGAGGCAGGACAGGGTGGTAGTTAAATGCATGGGCCAGGGTGCCTAGCTGCTCGGTGATGAATGTGTTTGCTGCTAACTCACTTGATGGCCTGGGGCAAGTCACACACCTTCTTGGCCTCAGTTTCTCCTCTGTAAAGTGGAATAACAATGTCTGCCTCATAGCTGTTGTAAAGATATAAAAATGAGATAATGTAAGTTCTAGGCATAGCATCTGGCTCCTGTCGAGCCTTGTGTGGGCGCTAACCTCAGAGCTGTTGAATCCTGGACGCTGACTTTCCCAAACCTGAAAAGCAGAATCACCTCAGGAACTTGTCAAAAATCTTGTACCTTGGGCCGCAACCCCCACAGATTCTGATTCGGTGGATGTAGGGTCCTGGAAAGAGTATTTTTTTTTTTTTAGTTGGAGTCTCACTCTGTCACCCAGGCTGGAGTGAAGTATCACACTCATGCCCCGCCCCCAGCGTGAACCTACTGAGCTCCAGTGATCCTTCCGCCTCAGTCTTCCAAGTAGCTGGAATTACAGGCAGGCGCGTGCTACCATGCCCAGCTGATTTTTTATTTTATTTTATTTTATTTTAGAGATGAGGTCTCGCCAAATTGCCCGGGCTGGTCTTGAACCCGTGGGCTCAGGCAATCCACTCACCTCAGTCTCCCAAAGTGCTGGGATTACAGACTGAGCCACCAAACTCGGCCAGAGTATTTTTAAAAGCTCCCAAAGCGGCCAGGCACAGTGGCTCACACCTGTAATTCCAGCACTTTGGGAGGCCGAGGTAGGAGGATTGCTTGAGCACAGGAGTTCGCGACCAGCCTGGGCAGCATAGCAAGACCTTGTTTCTTCAACAATATTTAAAAATTAGCCAGGTGTGATGGTGCGTGCCTGTAGTCCCAGCTACTCAGGAGGTGAGGTGGGAGGATTGACTAAGTCCAGGAGGTTGAGGCTGTGGTGAGCTATGATTGTGCCACTGCACTCCAACCTGGGCAATAGAGTGAGACTCTGACTCAAAAAAAACCCAAAAAATAAAAACCTCCCAAGTGTTTCCTGCCCAGTGTGTGGACAGCCTTTGGGAACCTCAGATCCCAAATCTGGTCACCTCACTCAAGGTTCCCTCTGCCTGATCTCTGACCAGGAGTCCCTAGCTGCTTCCTGGAACTCCACTGCTGCCCATGGCAGCTCCTCCACAATCTTTGGAGAGCTCTGCTTGAATCACTATTTTGTCTCTTGCCATCTCCTTTACGGTCAGGAAGTCCTTCTGAATGCCTAATTTTCCTGGCCTACTGTCTCAGTCCAAGGATGGAGAGAAGCGCTAACAGCTTTTCCCTCCTCTAAGAGGGTTTTCTACAAAGGCTATGAGGATGGGAAGGTGCCCATGGGGCCAGGGTGGAGACAGGAGCTGGCGGAGTAGGGGATGTGGCCAGCTCTTCTCCCAGGGCTCCCGCAGCCCCCAGGATCCCTGCCCTGCCCCCTTCATTCTGGTCCCATTATAGTTTCTTTCTGGCACCTCTCTGGTGTCCCCCAGCCCTGCAGCCACCCCCTCCTCATCACCTTTTGCTGGCTGCATCACTGGACCTGAATTCTGCAGCTTCTCATCCACACCAGCCTGGCAACCACTGACCTTTCCGTTGCCAGGCAACCCAGTGACCACCAGGCCAGACCTGGTTCCCCACATGCCGCAGAGCTCCTGCCCTTCAGCTGGGACCCAGGTGACAGAGAGGGGCGCAGTTGGCTCTGGTGGTCAGCTGAGAGCTGAGTCATTGCGTCTACATGGCAAGCACAAGCATCCCCGCAGTGGAACCAGTCCCTACGCCGCCTTCCTCCTCCCAAGACCCACACCCACCCACTGGTCAAGGCGTGGTGCTTGAGGCTGGATGCTCCCTGATGACCCCAGATCTGACTTTCCATGTCCCCAAACTCCCAAGGCCACCTTGGGGACAGTTGGGCACACTGCCCATCAGAGAAAGATGCTCTCTCTTTTCCGGAGTGGAAATCCGATTGGAACATTACATTGAGTTAATTCAAAGTGGCGATTAATTAGGGGTTAATCAGGATGTGGGGAAAAGGGAGCTGAAGAGGAGGATAAGCGATTCCTTTTAAAGATATTTTTATTATCTTTTTAAGAATTATTAAAACAACACATTCTAATTGTGCAATTCACACAATTTTGTAGAGAAATCTATAAAGAGGAAAGCTCTCAACACTGAGATAGCCAGTATTAATGGTTTCGAGTGATTTGTTGTTAAAAAATAAACTTGTATTTTTTCAGGAGAACAGAACTGAGCAACATGATAGTATTGATAATTATCTTGATAATCCATGTATATGTAACACATAGATGTATATACTGCACATAACATGGAGTGACGTAGGTCTGATTTAGTCTCTTATTTCCTGAAATGAACAAGTTTCTGTACAGCAACAAGGTTTTTTGCCCGGGGACTAGGCCTGAGTGACAGCCCTGGACTTCAGCCAAAAGTAGGCTCTTAAAGTGCAACTGAAATCATCCTGTGACCCCCCCCCCAGGGAGAGGGCAACCAGGCTGTCCTGTGACATCCTTCCCCACCCCCAGCCAGATCTCAGCTGTAGCATCAGGGAAGTGGCTGTCGCACAGGGTCCTGGGGGAGGCTAGGCATATGGCAGCCTGTGCCTTGCAGGGAGGGGCTGAGGCCTGGCACATGTGCCTTGTACACATGTGTGCCACACTAGACTTAGCATGTTCCTTGTGTACACGAGGCAGGTACTCTGAAACTGGGGTCCCGCTGGCTTGGAGGAGTTTGGGATGGTTTCCCCTGTCACCCTAAGTCAAGGGCATGCTCTTAGCCAGCTGTGAGGGCCTTTACCTCCCAAAGCTAGGATGCTGGGGTCCCGGCTCTTGCCTTCTCCCTGAGACCTGCATCCTGCCCCCACCCCACCCCTTTGAACTCCATGAAGGGTATGTTCGCCGCTCACAAATCCGCCGCTTAATGAATGTCTGGAACTAATGCCCCGACTTGCTCGGCGATTCTGCTGCTCACCTCGGTGACAAATTTTGTTGTTGTTGTTCTTTGGAAGCTTAAAATAGCACGGCTCCCACTCTCATCTGGCTTCCCAGGGTGCCTGAGTCCTCTGCCCACTCCTTACCTGCTGGGTGTCCCAGGGAGGCCGAGGCCCCATGGGCTGGGGAGCGCTCTTGCCACGCTACAGCTAGTCTCGAATGTGTGTGGGTGTCGCTGGCAGGCCGGGCCGAGGGGGCTCATGTCTGGTTCCTCCCGTCCTGCCCGGCCCCAGCAGGCCCGCAGTTCGCGCCACACTCAGGGAGCCCAGCCCGGGCTGGCAGACCAGGCGGCCAAGCTGTCCTACGCCTCGGCTGAGTCGCTGGAGACCATGTCGGAGGCCGAGCTGCCCCTGGGCTTCAGCAGGATGAACCGCTTCCGACAGAGCCTGCCCCTCTCGCGCTCTGCCAGCCAGACCAAGCTGCGCTCGCCAGGTACTGCCCACGCGCCCCCACTCCCTCGCGCAGGCTCCGCCCTCCGCCCTGCCCTCCCCGGAGCCCTCTTCGGCCCCTGCACACGCCATCTCCCTCAAGCTCGCGCTCCCTCTCCCACGGCCCTTTCTCCCCCCCCCCCGCAGCCCCCTCCTCAGCTCTCTCTGCCCGCCCCTCTCTCCCTCAGCATCCCCTGAGAGACTCGTTCTCCCTTGGCTTTCTTTTCTCGAAGAAGTCCTCCCTTTCCTTCATTCCCCCCACCTCCCCCTCCTCTAACTCTCTCCAACCTCTCCCTCCTTATCAGTTTCTGCCCCACTTGTTCCTGTTCCCTCCCTCCCGTCCCGCCCCCTCCCCCCCGTTGCTTTTCTGCGTTCAGTTCCCAACTGCCTGGGGTCGAGTGGGTTACACCCCGGCCTGGCGCCCCCGCTGGCAGCATGAGGGGTGCCTGGGTGCACCTGCACTCGGGGGCGGCGTCCGGTCTCAGACCCTGCCGCTGCGGGGCCGGCGCAGAGCCCGAAGGCCCTCTGCGCTCTCCTGGCCGGCGGCGCGGTGGCGGTGACCGCGAGCGCGGCGTCTCCTTCGCAGGGGTGCTGTTCCTGCAGTTCGGGGAGGAGACTCGGCGCGTGCACATCACGCACGAGGTCAGCAGCCTGGACACGCTGCACGCACTCATCGCGCACATGTTCCCGCAGAAGCTCACCATGGGCATGCTGAAGTCGCCCAACACCGCCATCCTCATCAAAGACGAGGCCCGCAACGTCTTCTACGAACTGGAGGACGTCCGGTGGGCGTAGCCCCGGGGTTGGGCGTGGCCCGGGGCTGGGCGTGGCCTCGGAGTTGGGCTCGGACCCCCGGGGGGGACCTCCCCACGCTCCCCTCTGCCCGACTCCCTCACGCCCTTCCGCAGACCCTTCCCGACCCCACCTCAGCCTTTCCCTCTGCTCCTAGAGCGCCCCCCACTTCTTCGGTCCTCCCAGCCTCACCCCCTCCCCTCTCAATCATCCACCCCTGCCGGTGCCCTTAGCTTTGAGCTAACCTGAAGATGGCGCCTGAGGCTGAACTAGCGGACGGGATGGAGACTGCTGGGTGTGTGTTGGTGGCAGGCAGCCCGAGGCACCAGGCCCACTGAGCGAAGGGCTTGGGGCTCCTGATGCCTCCTGCCCCTCCCCCGTCTCTCTGCCCAGAGTAGCTGCCCCTCCTCATCGTGCGTGGCTGGGGGTGAATGGTGACTCCCGCACCCCCTCCTCCTAGGGACATCCAAGACCGCAGTATTATCAAGATCTATAGGAAGGAGCCGCTCTACGCAGCTTTCCCCGGCTCACATCTCACCAACGGGGACCTCCGGGTATGGCGGGGGATGGCCAGGGCGTTGGGGAGGCCGGGCAAGGGGGTCCAGGCGAGCAGACACTGGCAGGTGTTAGTTCCCCGGGACCAGGGCCAGCTTTGGAGGCGAGAATCCAGAGACTGGGGCAGAGGGTGGCTCCTATGGGGGGAACCCCATGGGTTCTGGAAGTGCCCCTCCCCACGGGCTGCTCTCCCCTACCCTCCGGGCCTGTCCACTTAGGATTTCTCTAACGTGCCTCTAGATATCATACAGCCTCTCGGAAACCTCCCCTTCCCCTTCCACTTCGCTCCCGCCCCCGGCCCACCGTAGCGTGGGCCGAGAGTTGCCCTTCCGGTGGATCTCCATTCGCCACCTTTCCCTCCAAGCTGGGAGCCCTGACAGCAAAGGGGCCCTGGACGCAGCAGGATAGCGGGAAGGCAGAGCACAGAAGGGACTTCCGAGGCTCGAGGAGGAGACGCTGGCTCCTCAAGCAAGGGGCAGGGGTCTCCTTTGTGACCAGCCCCGGGGGTTCCGGGCCTGTCTTCTGCGCAGAGAGAGATGGTGTACGCGTCGCGGGAGTCGTCGCCCACGCGGCGCCTCAACAACCTGTCGCCGGCGCCGCACCTGGCGTCCAGCTCGCCGCCGCCCGGACTG